CTCACGAGAGTTACTTAGCAAAAATTCGAGGTCAAGCTCGAACCTCGGCATGATCAACTCAAGGTCAAGTTTGAACCGTAGCGCAATCCACTCCGCCCCGAAACTCAGTCTGAGTATCACAAAGTATAAAAGTACGCAACAGACATTGAACGTGTGTCTCAAAATGCGCAAACAGGAAAAAATCAAGCCTAAACGCAAAGGCAAAGAAAAGCGCAATGGCAAATAGACAAAAATAAAATATATACACAACCATGTTTTCAAAGTTCCACATTTGAATTCAACAAAAAAAAATAAAGCAGAGAAGATTAAACTAGGCTATTACACATTTAGCCTACGCAGAGGCATTCTCGCTGGAGCTGTCCTCGATGTCATCCTCCTTTACCAGCTTGCCAAAGCGGACAACCTTCTCCACGTGCATGGCAGAGAAGTCGAACCCCGGGGCAAGAAGCCTCGCCTGGCGAGCTGCCTTGAGGAAACCCCGCTTATGCTCAAACAAGACAGACCGCTCGGTTTCCTCCAGCTTCTTCTCCAGCACCGCCCTCTCTGCCTCCAGCTTCGCCAGCTCCACTCTTAGAGAGGCGACCTCCTCCTCTTTGCCACCGAGGACGACCTCGTCGCAGAGGCGCTTCTCAGCCGCCGCCACCAGCTCGCTCTTCAGAAATGTCACTTCATCCTCCAAAGAGCGAACCTGGCCCCGGGAAGACGTCACCTCATCTTCCAAAAGACGTACCCGACCTCGAGACGAGCCGACGAGCCCCTGCAGCTCACTCACCTAGGAGGCATAATTCTTGTTGGAGCGTAGGGCGATCTCCAACGATTTTTGAACCCTGACGAGATCTCCCCTTGTTGCTCGAAGGGCGGCACTCAGAACCTTGTTTTCCTCCCTCAGGACCTTGTTCTCGTCCCTCAAAGGTTGAACTCGGTTCCTCAGCCTAACCAGGTCCTCATGCTGTTTGGACCACTTATGCTTCCAGTGGTCCACAATTACCATAGTCCTCTGTAAAGAGAGTGTATTAGATTGAGATTTTAAAAGTCTATTTTGTCATTAAAAAAAGTGTTTTTAAACTTTTAAAGATTATATAATAATGTAATGACTTATAATATTTTTTAAAAAAAAATTACAAAAAAATATTTAATTTTTAAAACATATTTTCATGGATGGATTAGATATCATCAATTAAAAAATTGTTAATAGGTAGATTAGATTTTTTTTTTCCTTAAATGAATTGAATGAATTAAATTTTTAAATAAATTTTTAGTGAATTTAAATGGATTAATAAATTATTTTTATCCAATCCATTATAATTTTACTTAAAAAATTATTTTAAAAATTTATTTATTCTTTTAAGATTAGGATATTAAATTAATAAATAAAAACTTTTAAGATGAAAATAATTTTCGATTTATAGTGGGAGTCACAAACTCACAATTATCCTAAGTAAAAAAGAGGAAATCATAAAAAGGAGTGTTTGTCAAGTTTTATAAGAAAACTTGTGTTGAAGGTTTCTACGTTTCATTTGCAAAAGTTGTAAGAATTTTTTTTTTAAATTTTATCTATAAAACTTATAAAGAAAGTATTTCAAGTTTCATTTGTAAAACTTAAAGGAGAAACTTTTTAAAAAAATATAAAGTACATTTAAGAATAATAAATATTCTTGTAAATATATACAAGAAAGACTGATTCACATTAAATAAAATTATATAATCTTTCTTATTTCTTTTATATTATTTTTATGTGTTTTCTCATTGTTTTGGGTAAAGAACATAATTTTTTTTCCAACACTCTTGAATTTGAAACTTCATCGAGGGGAAGATTACACTTTTTTTTTTTTTTCAAAAACAATGTTTAAATTACATCATCATTTCTCATAATATTCGTCACTGCTACATAGCCCCTCAAACACAATATAATAATGTATGGATACAAACTATTGATATGATTTTATTAGTATCATGACTAACAAAGATATTTATCTTCTTCCTTTTACAAGGTATTGAATCTTTTAGAGTAGAGGACGGAACCATGTGAGGACCATATTAAGTCTCTTTCCTGAAAGTTGTGTTTTAAATTCAAGAATCATATTCTGGAGCTATGGCTAGGTTTGTAATAAAGACACTTATACATGTTAAAGCAAAGGTACAACAGTACATGACATCTGGAACCATTCATCGGATGCGAAGTATATGATACAATATACAATATTAATTACATATTTGATAAACGACCTAGCTTAATATATAATTTCTGTCATTCTCAGTGGGTTAAGGTGTAGTTAAATTGATTGTCATCTTCCGATACTATATGTGATCAATGTCAGTGGGTTTCATTAGTTAGCAACATTAACTTCATTTTGACAGTTGCCGACTAATTAAACAAAGAATTAATTACTAATACACTGTCAGTGAAATTTTTTTACATTGACAACTAATTATATATTTTAATTCTGTCATGTTACTGCAAACACATTTACTTTTAACAGTAATAGGATAAAATTAAAAAATATAATTAATTACCAGTATAAAAATATTTTACACTTACAGTATATAGGTGATTAACTCTTAAACAAATCACGTATATTTTATATGGTATGCTAATTAATTAGTACATGATAATACACAAGCTCAATGGACAATTAGCTATTCATCAATGTCCGAACACTCCTTTTTATTTAGTTTGATGTTGAATGCATATATTTCTTCTTTCTCGTATTATTTATTTTTAAAACAATAAAAACTAATATATTTTAATTCTATATAAATATGATTATGTTCGATTTTAGTTTCAATAATTTTTTTTTATTTTTAAATCTTTGAAAATTTCTTAGTATTTATCTTTTATTTTTTACTATTAATTCTAATTAATTTAGCTAGTACTAACTGTTGGGTACCATAGGGAAAAGAAATTTTTAATAATGGAAGCGCACACACGAGAGAAACAAAAAATATTATTTCTCCACTTGCAATTTTTACAAGGATAAAATTACAAACCCTCTCACATAATTTTTGCACGAAAAAATTGCAAACCCTCTCTTGACACATAACTAGTCCCCAATACACCCAAGAACTATAGTTGTTGTGGTGAGTAGACTCAAAACTATCACCTCTTATTTATAGTAGTAGTTTACCACTTCCCTTCTTCAAAACTACTCGATGTGGGACTTTGGATGATACTCACACACTTTGGGCACAACATATCCTCCCTTCATCCAAAGTCTCACATTAATCCATCATCATTCACAAATTTTCTAGCGAAACTTAGAAACCTCTTCCTCACAAGTTTTATGAGTGAAACTTGGAAACCCCTTCCTCATAAGTTTTTCTGGCAAAACTTGGAAACCCCTTCTCACAAGTTTTTCTGGCGAAACTTGGAAACATCTTCCTCACAAGTTTTTTTGGCGAAAATTGGAAACACATCTCTCACAATTTTTTTTCTGACGAAACTTGGAAACCCTCTTCCTCACAAGTTTTTCTGGCGAAACTTGGAAACCTCTTCCTCACAAGTTTTTCTGGTAAAACTTGGAAACCCGTCTCTCACAAATTTTTTTTTTTGCGAAACTTGGAAACTCTCTTCCTCACATGACCTCCTCGGTACACTGCTTCTCTTTTTTGCGAAACTTGGAAACTCTCTTCCTCACATGACCTCCTCGGTACACTGCTTCTCTTCCTCCCTTGGTCAAAACCTCATTTTCTGATGTGTAAGATCAGACAATGCTGCAATCACAGAGCATACTAAGAATTAAGAATCCCACAAAGCCCCACCACATCAACCTGGCTCTGATATCACTTGTTGGGTACCAGAGGGAAAAGAAACCTTCAATTTGCAGAAGCACACACACGAGAGAAAAAAAAATATTATTTCTCCACTTGCAATTTTTACAAGGATAAAATTACAAACCCTCTTACACAATTTTTGCACGGAAAAATTGCAAATCCTCTCTTGACACACAACTACCCAAGTTCTCAATACACTCAAGAACTAGAGTTGTTGTGGTGAGTAGACTCAAAACTATCACCTCTTATTTATAGTAGTAGTCTACCACTTTCCTTCTTCAAAACTACCTGATGTGAGACTTTGAAAGATACTCACACACTTTGGGCACATGACTAACAAAATGAAAAATATTTTAAATTAAAATCATTAAATTGTTTTAAATTGAATAATTCAATTAAATAATATATTTATTATATCATATAATGAGATAATTATATATTTTTAAAATTTTAATGATAATAATAATAATAATAAGAGATTTACCTCGAGTTAGAATGTAAATAGATATCAGGTGCTGTTTTGGTGTTCATGGGGCTTGAGTGCTTTTAGTACAGAATGTTCATTACTAGGATTTTTGTTGGGCCAAAATATTGGAATTCCTCAGAAGTGGGCTTATTGCCCAATTTGTTAAAGAAGAGGCCGACTAAATGACTTAAACAGACATGCAAGGCCTCTTTATTACAGTTAAGTGTCTGTTTGGTTGGTGAACTTTTTTTTTTTTTCGTATTTCAATTATTGATTTTATTTTCATTTAACTTTAAAGTTTTGTACAAGAAATTACGAAAATAATGATATTTTTATCATATACACTATGGATATGGAAAATTAAAATAAAATTAAGGAAATATTCTTTTATAACTATTAGTTAAAATAAAAAGGATCATTAATATTTTCTCCAATCAAGAACGTCTTATATAGTCAAGAAGAAATTACCATTTTTTTATATCATTTATTCTTCTTTATCACTCCAATCCTATGCCTCTCCTCTCAAACAATTAGATTAACCTTATAACTAATATATATATATATA